GAATATCAAAGTTTAAATCCTAAACTATCAATTTCCTTAGCCTTATCTCCAACCCATTTAGTTTCCTGAATGCACAAAATATTTAACTTCCTATGAATCATAATATCTATTAATTCCATTAATTTTCCTGTAAGGGAACCTATATTCCAAGTTCCTATCCTAATTTTAGTTTCATGGACTAGCTTCTTTGCCCACATACGTCCTTGATGTGGGAACCCTTGCCTATTTAACACTGCACCCGGGCGCCGGTGCAGCGATGGCCTGAAAGATCATTATGGTTGCTTTGAGATTACTGTTATAAATATTAATCTTAAAACAAGTTTAATAATTTTTAGATTCATTTTACTACAGGCGCCGGTGCAGCGATGGCCTGAAAGATCATTATGGTTGCTTTGAGATTACTGTTATAAATATTAATCTTAAAACAAGTTTAATAATTTTTAGATTCATTTTACTACAATTTTATTAGGATATTCTAACAATTTTGTCCCCCGTTAATTAGCAATCATATGATTAACACTCCTTTTAACTTGTGATTATTGGTCACTTTCTTTGCTAAGAATCCAAGGCTTCGTTTGAGGCTTTCTTTATGCTTTCTAAAGCAGCTTTTTGAATTAAAAGTTTTTTAATAAAAAGCTGCTTTACGATGCATTAAAAAAACCGTCCCAAACTAAGCCTAAGCTTTCTCCATCTTTGTTGTGATCCTATAATCGTTTAATTTTTCTTCTAATCATATGTTGAATGTCTTAATTTCTTCCTTTATTTTGAAGTTCATCTTCAGAAGGCAATATTAACCATATCTTTTACCTGCAGATTGTTCTTTTCTCATGATTTGGATACGGCCGCAGACGAGCTTCTTGAAACGGGTGGTGAAGTTCACAAAGAAGAGTCTTAATAACTGCAGATGAAAATCAATCACGAATAATCTATAAACCATAGAAAATCTCATCATTCCTGATGGAGAACCAAACCAAATATATTTCGACCTTTTGTTTTATGGAATGCTCAATGAAGATCAGCATTTGTGATAAACTTTGTTTGTAAGTGGTTCCTTATGGAACTGTTTTGAGGTTCCTTATGTGAGCAGTCGGTTCTACTTAGCTTAGACTACACCAACGTGTATTTACTTAAGTATCCCTCTGTCTCTATATATACTTTGTAACTGCACAATTCATAATAAGATTGATTCATAATTTCCTCTCTCTAGAACTTCTTTCATGATATCTAGAGCTGGGAAATGGGAGATCAAGAATCTGCATCTTCCCTCCCTCCCGCTTCCACCTCCACGTTCGCCGGATCCGCTACGGAACTCACTTTGCCGGCCTCCCTCAAGTTCATCATTTCAAATATCAAGAACCTCATCCCGCATCACCTCACCACGGACAATTACGCGATTTGGCGTATCCTATCTATCAAAATCTCTCAGCAAATGGATATGCCGACTACCTCACCGGCAAGATCAATCTGCCTGCCGATCACACTTTGCAAGACTATGCTCGTTGGCGACTCGTTGATAGTAATCTAATCTCTACACTCTTCTCTACTATCTCTCCGGCCCTTCTCCCCTATGTCATCACGTCAACTTCCGCTCAAGAAGTATGGGGAACTCTCTAACGCCGGCTTCAGTCGACTTGTTGTTCTCGAGTAATACAACTCAAGAACGAATTACACCACGTCCAGATGAACAATCCCACTATGCAACAGTATCTATCCACATCAAGAACATCGTGGACAATATCGCTGCTGCAGGAACCAAAATCGATCAAGAAGATATCGTTCTTTACATCTTGAACGGTCTCCCAGCATCTTACAATGCCTTCAAAACAGCCATCCGAACCTCCTCCTTACCCGCAGACCTTGACAAGCTCTACTCACTGCTTTGCAGTGAAGAGATTCATATTAATCGCGAAATAAAAGAAGGAACAATCAATCAAAAATTCCACGTCCGCACTCTACGCTTCTTCCGTCAACCAGCAAAAGAATCGTGGTCCAAAACGGCCTTTCAAGAACAAATTCGCTGCCCCTCGTCAATCCGAGACAACCAAAACTACAAATCCCACTCCGACCAATCGACCAACCTGCTAGATTTGTGGCAAGATTGGCCACTTTGCTTTAAACGGTTGGCATAGAAGCAATTACAAGTATGCTCCCACGATTCAGAACGGACCACGCGCACTTCTTGCTCAGCCAACACTACCGCAAAGTTGGATCCTCGACTCCGGAGCGACAAATCACCTAACTCATGATAGCAACAACCTACAGCAGCCAACGTCTTACACCGGCTTCGATTCCATCACGGTCGCAAATGGTTCATCTCTTCCCATCCATAACTACGATCAAGGTTTTCTACCACTACCCGACACCCCTTGTAAGCTTCATCTTTGTCGCCATCTTCATGTTCCAAATCTCACACACAACCTTTTATCTGTGTCTAAACTAACACAAGACAACGCTATTTCTATTACCTTCGATTCTAACGGCTTTGAAATTAAGGATATACAATTATACAGGACAACTGTCCTCTTCTTCGTGGTCGTCTACTTAATGGGTTATACCAACTCAACATCTCTCCGGACAGCAGCAAGAAGGCTCTACAAACCGACACGAACTCCTCCTTCACATGGCATGCTCGTCTCGGCCACCCAAACAATCAGATTCTACAACATTTAGCTAACAACTTCTCCGATGTCAAGAACATCTCATTTTCTTTTCACTGTAATTCTTGTAAAATGGCCAAGAGCCAAAAACAACCGTTTAATAGAAGAAGTTCGGTCACCACACATCCCTTTGAACTAATTCACTTGGATGTCTGGGGAGCGTCCCCTATGATTTCTCTCTCCGGTTTTCTCTATTTCGTAGTTTTTATTGACAATTTTACAAGATATTCCTGGATTTATTTCATGAATACTAAACAAGAAACGTTTACAAAAATTAAAATGTTTTGTAGTCTGATCAATAATCAGTTCAACGCCACCCCGAAATTTTTCCGATCAGACAGCAGAGGCGAATTCACGAGCTCTGAGTTCACCACTTTCCTCCACACGCATGGCATAATTCATTAGCTATCCTGCCCTCACACTCCGGAGCAAAACGGCCTCGCCGAGCGTAAGCATCGGCATCTCCTGAATTTAACCAGAACACTTCTTCACGCTTCCAACCTTCCCGATCAATTCTGGGTTGACACCACCAATACCGCCAACTACCTAATAAACCGGCTACCTTCAAAATCTCTCAATCTCAAATCACCGCACCAGCTCCTCTACAATAAACCACCCACCTTCGCTCATCTCCGCACCTTCGGGTGTCTGTGCTACCCGTGGCTTCAACCTTACACCGCCAACAAACTATCACCTAGATCCCAACCCTGTGTCTTCATCGGCTACTCTTCACGTCACAAAGGGTACAAATGTTATAACCCTCACACAAACAAAACTCATGTCTCTCGACATGTGGTTTTTCAAGAATTGATCTTTCCCTAGTCCACACTCAAGCCTACACCAAATCTTCAAAACACCACTATCTCACCGATTCCACAACCTCTCATACTCGTCCCTACCTCCACCATAACTAATTCTCAGGCACCGCAAACCAATCCTAACTGTAAGGCCACGGATCAACCCAGCACACACAATTCCGATCAACCACCTTTACCGGAACCTCAGCCAACTCCCCTGAATACCCAACTCGCTCCCGCCCAACCTCCTACACATCAAATGCAAACCCGGTCTAAATCCGGGATTCAAAAACCCAAACAAATCTTCACCCTGCTTAGCCAGAACACCGATCCGCACACTCTGACATCCTACAAATAAGCGTCCAAGCACGACCACTAGAAGGATGCAATGATGACCGAATTCACTGCACTCAAAAATTAGAACACATGGACACTGGTTACTCCACCGTCCAACAAGCGCATCCTCGGGTGTAAATGGATGTACAAAACCAAACTTCTACCTACAGGACAAATTGATCGACACAAAGCTCGCCTAGTTGCTCTAGGTTATGATCAACGGTTCGGAGAAAATTATACCGAAACTTTCAGTCTGGTCGCCAAAATGACAACGATCCGCATGCTTCTCACATTAGCAATCAACCGGAAATGGAACATACTTCAATTAGATGTCACCAATGCGTTCCTTCACGACGATTTACCAGACGACATTTACATGCATCAACCGCAGGGCTTTGAGGATCCTCAACATCCCAATCACGTCTGCAAACTAAACAAATCTCTATACGGGCTTAAGCATGCGCCTCACCAATGGTTCCAAAAGTTCACAAATTTTCTTCTCGCACGCGGCTTCGGGTTCAGTCGTTCTGACTCTTCTCTCCTCATATTTTCCAAGAATCAAATTCAAATATTTCTATGTTGATGACATACTTGTAACAAGAAATAATCCCGAAAGCATTCAAAGTCTCCTTCGTGATCTACACACTCCGTTTGCCTTAAAATAACTAGGCAAGATCTCTCTATTTCTTGGAATACAGGTTACTCAAACTCACAATGGAAACTTCCTCACCCAAGAACACTACGCAAACAAACTACTATACGAAGCCGGCTTCGATCAGTGCAAGACTTCTTCGACTCCGATCGCCCCAGCAAACTCTAACAGACAGACCAACTCGTCGCTCTTTCAAGACTCGTCCCTCTATCGTCGCCTCGCTGGATAGCACCAGTACCTAACCATCACCAGACCTAACATCGCCTTCGCTACAAATCAGGCATGTCAACGAATGCATCAACCTACCGATCAGGATTTTAAAAGCCTCAAACACATTCTAAGATACATCAAAGGAACCAAGCACTACGGACTTCCCATAACACCCGGTGATTCCCAACTTCGCACATACACGGACGCGGATTGGGCATCCAACATCTCCGATAGGAAATCAATCACTTGTCACTGCACCTTCATGGGTTCAAACTTAATATCCTGGTCCGTAAAGAAACAGGTGACGGTAGCAAAATCCTCCACCGAAGCTGAATACCGTGAGAGAATATCAGGAGAGGAAGAGGAGAAACCGGAAAGGACCGAGTATGGAAAGAACTAGAAAATAATATTCATTCCCAAAAAGCTATTACAAAGATGGTCTTAAATAGACCCAAAGAAAGCTAAAACTGTAAATACAAAGAATGGTAATTAAGAGATACATTATGTGCTAATATCCTCCCTCAAATTAAGCATTCGTTGGCCGAATGGTTAATTTGTTCCGTAATTCGATGAACTGAGAGATCGAAAATGGCTTTGTGAGAATGTCAGCTACTTGATCTTTAGAGGAAATGTGCTCGAGCTTGATGTTGCCGGAGCTGATTTGCTGACGAATAAAGTGGTAGTCGATCTCGATATGCTTTGTTCTTGCGTGAAACACCGGGTTTTTGGCTATAGCCTTGGCCGAGGTGTTGTCGCAATAAATTGTAGTCGGTGATTGCTGTGGGAGATTAAGTTTGTTGGCGAGACGACGAAGCCATGCCACGTCCGAGGCTGCGGTGGAGAGAGATCGGTACTCGGCTTAGGTAGATGATTTAGCGACGGTCGCCTGCTTTTTGACCGTCCATGATATGATATTTGGGCCGAGAAAAGTGCAGAATCCCAAAACTGACTTCCGGTCGGACGTATCGGATGCCCAGTCCGCATCAGAATAAGTCCGAAGATCCATTGAGCCGGCTGTGATCGGCAGGCCATATGAGAGCGTGCCTTTGATGTAGCGAAGTATTCGTGTTAGCGCCTTGAAGTCTTTATCAGTTGGAGACTGCATGTGTTGACAAACACGGTTTGTAGCGAAAGCGATATCCGGTCTTGTGATCGATAGGTACTATAGCGATCCGGCGATGCGGCGGTATTGGGACGGGTCCGAATATGGTTGCAACTTGGGTTCTTTCTGTTTGGAATCTGGTATAACTGGAGTTGGAGCTGCTTTGCAATCTTTATAACCTGCATCATTAAGGATTTTAGTAGCATAGTGTTCTTGAGACAAGAAATAGCCTTGTTTGGATCGGGTCACCTGGATGCCGAGAAAGAGCGCGATGTTGCCGAGTTGTTTGAGGGCAAATTGTGTTTGCAGTTGTTGGAGAAGCCGATGAATCGCTGTTTCTTCGTTACCTGTCACCAAGAAATCGTCTACATAAATGAGAATATACATTTGAATATTATTCTTGTTAAAAATGAAAAGCGAGGGGTCGGAGCGACTGAACCCGAAA